GTCCTCAGAGACCCCAATACCCCTTAATTAAGGAATATGCTTTAAATCTTATTCGGGTTCACATTATTAATTTAAGGTATATTCCTGAATTAAAGGGTTTTGGAGTCTCCGGATCGGCCCCTGAAGACAGCCACCGGATGCCGTAAGAGGTCGGCTCCGGAAAGCAGCTACGGGATGTTGTAACGGCGGGGCCTTAGTAATTCTAAGGTACAACCCATGGGCCCCTAGCATGGGCCCTTAACCCTGGGACCCGAATATACCTACTATATACCCTATATATATATATATATACACCCTTAAGGGACCCTAGAATCCCCTAAGACCCCACGTTAGGGGCCCATGCGTTCAACCTTAGAATAATGACACATAATATTTTGGAGGCTTCCTGACTATGTTTATACTATCATATATCCCAAAGCCTTATTCGAATTATTAAGGCCCCTACATTAACACAATCGGCCCCTGAACTGACCTACAGGATGCAGGAACAGATCGGCTCCTTAATTGAATGAAACACATAGGGTTTAAATTTAGGGTTTAGGGTTCTCGGCCGACGTGAATGTCACGGTGAGATGCCGGCTTGGTGTGTTTGAATACTTCAACAGACCCGAGTAAGTTTGAGATCTCAGCCACGATTCCGCATCCACAAGGCGATCATATCACGATCATCCCCATGACTCATTGACCCTTGTTGTTTGACGATGATAACGTTGATGATGAAGAAGAAGATGGTGTTGAAGATGATGATGGTGATAGTGATGCTCCGGCTGAGCCAGCCTGTACGGACCTTGTGTTGGAGGATGACGCTGCTCCGGTGCAGTTTGCGATCCTGGAATTTGAAGGCTTGCGCAGCAATTATGGTCTGCCGCTGGACAAAGGTGAGGAACCAGATCTCTTTGAGTTTCAGAGGGTGAAACGCTGCGGTCGTAACTCACTGCAAGCAGCGATGATGGACAAGAACATCAAGAAGATGCCTTTCTACTTTCGGTGTACTCTTCGGCTCCTCTAAATAACCCAGAGACTCCAAAACCCCTTTAATTAAGGAATATACCTTAAGATTATAATGGGAACCCTAGTAAGATTTAAGGTATATTCCTTAAATGATAATGGGAACCTTAATGAGATTCAAGGTGTTTTGCCTTCATCAAGGGGTATTTGGAGTCTCTGACGACTCGGAACTCGAAAAGAGCCCCCCGTAGTACTGGCCCTCGATGTCCTCGTCTCAGAGTCGGGGAAGATTTATGGCTGAGGCCCTAAACCCTACACCCTAAACTAATAGAGGTCTCCTGGTCTTTTATATAGGCCTTTCGGATGGATCACGCAGCCGGAAAAAGGAGCTCAACAAACAACTAATGGAGGTGTCATGGTCTTCATACTTGGCGTTCTTTAGGTTTTGTCGAAGACTGTTGGCAGGGGCCAGAAGTCAGGGCTTATGGATGACGTACATATGTGAGTGTGCGCGTGCGTGTATGTACGTATGTATGTATGTATGTATGTATGTATGTACGTATGCATGCATGCATGCATGTATGTATGTATGTATATATATATATATATATGCGTATGCATATGCTCATGCATGCGAGAAATCACACGGTTCCTTACAAAGGTTTCCCAAAGTTCTCTGTGGAGGTGTGTCTGCCGTGTCATTGCTTCATTTGTTTCAACCATGAGCTCAGGTTTGCTGAGTCCCTGCATTTTACAAAGCAGGGTTTCCATGTAAAAAACCTGCTGTGATTAGGCTTTGTGTGAGTATGTCCTACATACCCATTCTTTACACATGCCCTACAAATGCCTCTAGAGCCCAAGGACAACCCTAGCAAAGCTCATACATGCCGGTACTTAGGATGCACTTGCTGTGCCAGGAACTGACAGAGAGCAAGGAAGCAGAGGTGCACGGGCAGAGAAGTCCTAAGTTACGGTTTAGCGACAACGCCTAGCGTTGCCTCAAGTAGCCCTGAAGGGTCAGTCAACGTAGTACCTCTTTACTATATACTTTGGCCTCAAAGGGTTTCCTAAACCCTAAACCCTAAACCTATATAATTAGGTACTTTAGGGCCAGGGCCAAAGTAGTTGCACATCATTGGGGCACGTGGGCTCTTAGGATGTCGAAGTACCAAGCACGTAAGCTCCGGGAAGTACCGTATGTATAATGTTTTAGATAGGATATTGCAGCATGTGGTCCATCAACCGTGTGGGGGCTTGACGTTCGTTGGGGTAGGTTTTGAGACCCGGGCTTGGGGGTTTTAGCAGAAGCTCGAGGGAGGATGCGGGGTTCAGGATCATGCAGAAAAGCCAACTTGCAGACACTTCTCCGGGACTTCGCGCAACCCGACCATGTAGCTGCGACGCCCCGGAGCCTTTAGCTCCATACCTTACGCTCAAAATCCTAAACCCTGCCCCCGGAAACCTTGACCTTATGAAATCCAAGTCAATTGATGGAGCCCCACTCAACTTCATAAATCAATAATATAACCCCTAAGCAGCTATGTCCTAAACCCCACACCCCAAAAACCGCCAAACCGCTCAACGCCAAACCTCTCATAAAGCCCTATGCAACCGTATGAAACCATATGAAACCCTGCAAACAGTGAGACGCCGCAAGCTGCCAATTAAGCTGGGATTTAGGATTTGGGGCTTGGGATCGTGGGCTTCTCAGACCATATAAGGGTTCCCTCTACAATCCAACGTACCCTGGTGACTGAAACGATCTTGGAGTCTGTACAAAACCCTGTGGGTCCAAGTGCCCATGCAGCAAATACTGTACTTTTGTGCAAGGCTAAGTAGGTATGCTCTATATATATATATATACATACATGGAAGCTTGTCACACCAGATTGTAAACTCAGTGAACACAAAAGCCTGTAAACCGATCTCAAGGAGCCCCTGAGCCCGGAAAGGAACCCCAAACCCCCAAACCCCTAAACCCCCAAACCCACAAACCCTAAACCCCGTAAACCCCGTAAACCCCGAAACCCCTAAACCCATAACCCATAAACCCTAAAGCCCCTAAACCCTAAGCCCCCAAACCCTAAAGCCCCTAAACCCTAAACCGGGAACCCTATAGGACCCGTCAACAATATGGGTACATGGATCCTCCAAAGGCCCGAAACCTCTTAGGGTTTAGGGCTTCAGGGTTTAGCGTTTAAGGGCTTAGGGTTTAGGGTTTAGGGTTTAGGGCTTAAGGGTTTAAGGGTATAGGGTTTAAGGGTTTATAAGCGTTTAGGGCTTCAGGGTTTAAGGGTATAGAGCTATAGCAGCATTAAGCCAGAAAAAACCCTTAAGCTCTAAAGCCTGATGCCGCTCATCACTTTTTTAAATCAACCTGAGCCCGTTTTCGGGAATCCCAGTAGCCTAAAGTAGGTACTTTTTGTAGACTTTAAACCCAATCATGGGTACTATTCATAGACTTTATATAGACCCCCAATGTAGGCACGATTTATAGACTTTCGACCCCAAAGTAGGTATTGTTTGTAGAATATCCCTACACCCTAAACCCTAAACCCTAATCTCTAAACCCTATCCTAAACCCTAAAACCCTAAAACCCTAAACCCTAAGTCCTAAACCCTAAACCCTAACACCCTTAACCCTAAACCCTAAAATCCTAAAATCCTAAACCCAAAACCCTAAAACCCTAAACCCTAAAACACTAAAACCCTCTGGCTCTCCAGGAGTCTCAGATGCCTGTCACGTTTACCAGATCCATGATGCCTGCACGGGTCACTTCCCAGGTGCAAGGGGTTAGGGTTTATAGGGTTTAGGGTTTATAGGGTTTAGGGTTTTTAGGGTTTAGGGTTTTTAGGGTTTAGGGTTTAGGGTTTGGAGAGCTCTGGTCGTTAAGGTTGCTTTGAGGGTTCCTTCAAGGGTGCCGGGAGTGTTCTATGAGGGGTTTAGGGTTTTGGATGCGTTTAAGGGATTTAGGGTTAGGTTAGGGTTCCTTTACGGGCTTTACAAGGCTTTATGAAGGGATTGTGGGCTCCGGGCTTTGGGCAGTTTGGAGTTTGGGTCTAGGTTTTTGGGATTGGGTTTAGGGTTTAGGGTTTTACGGAGGTGTAGTTTTGGGGTTTTAGCGTCGTGCGGTTTTTGGAGCTGAGCCTCAGGGTTTGATCAAACCCTAAACCCTAAGCCCTAAACCCTAAACTTGGAGGTTCATCCACATTTTCTCGGGGGTGACCTTCAAGTGAGTCCCAGATTACGGGTTGGGGGATTGACTAGTAATCCAAATACCTACACGACGGGCTGCTGTATTCGGTTTAGTTTACCCTAAACCCTAAACCCTAAACCCTAAACCCTAAACGCTAACATCGACAGCTCGTAGTGGCCCAGCGGGCTTCCAGGGGCTTTCAAGCTTTTTGAGTAGACCTTCAAACCTAAACCCTAAACCCCTAAACCCCTAACCCCTAAAACCCTAAACCGTAAACCCTAAACGCTAGACCCTAAACCCTAAACCCCTAAACCCTAAACCTTAAGCCCTAAGCCCTAAACCCCTAAACCCCTAAACCTCACGGACGGATTCAGGGCTGATAGGTGTTTCCTTCCATGGGGGCAACTCTCATGAGGTGGTGACGGTGAACTTTTTGGGGGTTAGGCTTTAGGGTTTAGGGTTTCGGGTTTGGGGTCTAGGGTTTAGGGTTTAGTGTGGTTTAGGGTTCAGGGTCAACGGGTCTACAGCGGAGGCTACATTACTGACACAAACGGAAACCAAGTGGTCTTTGACGACGCCACCACTGCACCCACAGGTTTAGTTGGTGCTGCATGCCGTGGCTTTCAGCCCTGCGCCCGTAGTCCCAATTGCATCTTCTGCAAGCAGCCGAAGCCACAGATGAAACCAGTTGAACTCTTGCATTAGGGCGTGCTTGAGACTCGCCTGTCATTCACCTTTTGTTGAGGTTTTGTAGTTCCTATTCACCTGAACTCTGGTTGCCAGCATGGCTCGACACGTACCCACCAGGCACGAAACTTGTCGTCCACATGCTCAAGCAGCTGAGCAGCTAGGCAGGAGGACGGTGGACCGATCCGTGGGCGCCAACGAGGGGCTCATCGTGGAAATGGAGGACGGGAAGATCTTCGAGATTGTCGTGCCCCTCGACAGTTTCTGGAACGCCATCTTCGTGAATAGGGCAGCACAGCGCCCTCGACGGCCGGCTCCAAGGTGGGAATCAGTGGTGCTGCGACTGGGAGGAAAGCCGAATGCCTAGCAGCCGGGAGGAGGTGCTCCCGTCCCGAGGTGCAGGAAAGGAGCGCCGACAGCACAAAGCACCGAGAGATGCTGACAGAGCCATGCATGCGTGTGCACGTATGACATTGCTTGGCTGTTGTTATCTACGTTGCTTTGTGTTGCATAGGAATAGGAATAGTACTGTAGGAACAGGGATAAGAACGGCATAGTAGTAACAAGTGTTTTCATTGCCATATTATGAACTTGAGATAAAGGAGCGGCTGTCAGATGCAAAAGGAGACTGTTAGCCCTAAACCCTAAGGGTGGAAGGCACCTAATAACATTTGACTTCCTTCGGACTTCGATTCGCAACCATGAACCATGGAAGACTAATTATGAAAGTTCTGAGTCTGGAGTGCTGGTGGTTAAACTAAACCCTAGACCCTCACCCCCAAAGTAGTGCCCTTTTGCCCTTGTTCTTTCTCTTCGGGTTCTCGTAATGAAACCTTAGTAAGGACAAAATGTGCCCTTGTTATTTAGGGGCTACTGGACTTCCTGAAGCCCGAAACCCGAAAGCCTCTAGACCCTCGACTCCCGGTTTAGGGTTTTAGGGCTTAGAGCAATGCCGCACCCTAAGCCTAAAAGAAAAATAAACCCACAAGAAAACTCGGTTTTGGGTTTGGGGTCATCCCACACCCTAAACCTAAACCCTAAACCCTAAACCCTTCAAGTTACGTCAGTCTCGGAGGCCTTCGTGTCTACGGCACCCTTGCCATCAACTTCTACGTCCCTGGAGCAGGACCCGCTTCTTAGGGTTTAGGGTTTAGGGTTTATAGGGTTTAGGGTTTAGGGTATAGGGTTTAAGGTTTAGGGAGGGCCCCTGAAATTCCCAAATCAAGGTAACCTGTCGAAGCTTAAAAGAGGGGCCTAAATAATCACTCATAGTATTTTGGGGGGCTTCCTTGTTATAACTCCACTAAGAGGAGCCCAAAGCCGTATTCTAATCATTCAAGGTCCCTAGAACCCCTTTGTAGATTCCTGATGGAACCCTTTAAGGATCCCTTTAAAGGAACCCCAAAACCCTACATTACCTGGGGAAGTTGCGTTCCATCGGGTATCCTCGCCCTGAAAACCCCAAAACACCTAAACCCTAAATTAAAATGAATACGGCCTATAAACTATACTATAGGTTAAGGGTTTAGGGTTCAGGGTTTCTATACCATACCATACCATACCATACCATACCATACCATACTATACTCTACTATACTATACTGCATTATACTATACGAGAATAGTATCCTATACTACAGTGAACCATAGTAAGCTGTAATATACCTTAATGTACTATACTGCAGTACATAGTATGTTCTACTGGAATATAATAATATACCCTAAACCCTAAACCCTAAACCCTAAACCCTAAACCCTAAACCCTAAACCCTAAACCCCAACCCCAACCCCATTGGAGTAAAGAAAGCCGAAGAAATCCGACGAAAGGATCCGGCCTTGCGCATGGTCGCAGAGAGGCTCTGCGAGGCAAACTCCGGGGGAGGGCGGAAATGAAGGGTTCAGGGTTTAGGGTTTTGGGTTTTTGGGTTTAGGGCCGTTTTGGGTGAAGGGTTCAGGGTTGAGGGTTTAGGGTTGAGGGTTTTGGGTTTGGGGTTCTGGGTTTAGGGTTAAGGGTTTTGGGTTTTGGGTTGAGGGTTTAGGGTTGAGGGTTTAGGGTTGAGGGTTTGGGGTTTAGGGTTCAGGGTTTTGGGTTGAGGGTTGAGGGTTTTGGGTTGAGGGCTTAGGGTTTAGGGCCGTTTTGGGTTAAGGGTTTAGGATTTAGGGTTTAGGGTTGAGGGTTTAGGGCTCAGGGTTTAGGGCCGTTTTGGGTTTAGGGTTTAGGGTTTAGGGCCGTTTTGGGTTTAGGGTTTAGGGCCGTTTTGGGCTAAGGGTTTTGGGTTTAGGGCCGCTTTGGGTTTAGGGCTTAGGGTTTAGGGCCGTTTTGGGTTAAGGGTTTAGGGTTTAGGGTTGAGGGTTAAGGGTTTAGGGTTAAGGGTTGAGGGTTGAGGGTTTAGGGCCTTTTAGCGTTTTGGGATTTAGGGTCGTCTAGGGTCACTCTCCTGGCTATTAAGGCGCTTGCCGGGCCGTTGCAGAAGGCGTGCCGGTTCGTTGGTCGATGGGGCACGGTACAGGCAGCTCTATGCGAGCTCTGGAGAGATGTCGCGCAGCCGCGTGAGAAACGCACATTGGGCCACGCGACCACGCTTCGCTGCCCACTCTGCGATGTATCTCTCCCAAGTCGTCAGGCTTTCGCCGCACATGTGCATAGAAAGCACTCCGTGGTGAATTACCTCACGCGCTTTACGCATGGTACAGCATGTCTTTGGTGCCACACGGATATGTACTCAACTGACAGGTTGAGATATCACCTCCGTACGACGCCATCATGCAAGCATGGGCTTCGAGTTACGGTTGAAGAAGTGCAAGCTTCAGTGTTTAGGGTTCAGGGTTTAGGGTTGAAGCTCGAGGGGTTGAGGTTTAAGGAACCTTTGTGGATCCTTTAAAGCAACCCTTATGGATCCCTTCAAGGAACCCTTAAAGGATCCCTTAAGAGACTTCGATTTTGGTGTTGAGCTGCAGGGTTCATGTTCCACCCGAACCCTAAGGCTCTAAGGACTCATAACTTAAGGCTTTTGGGTCCAAAGACCGTACTGCGTATGGCTTTTTGGGCGATTTTGAGCCTTAGGGTAACGGACTGGTACCCTGGTTCTCTTAGTGGCCCAAAACCCAACTTCTCAATTGTGAGTGCCCTTATAAGGTAGTTTTATTCGCAAAGTTTGAGCTGTTAAGTCCATGGGTATGTGATAGATAATAAAGAAGTACTTACGGTAAGATCGTATCATTGTAGGTCAGTTATGTTGGCACGTATTTGGCTGATGGGGATTTGGGATGGATCACGAAGATGCTGACGATAATGACGTGGATGATCACAGCCACCGTGATCAGGGCACCTGCATGACACACATAGTTCTTAGTTTGCTTCTTTTTCTTTTCATTCTTCTTCAGCAACTCCTCCTTCATCACTATCACCATCATCATTACTTGGTGTTCTTCTGGTTGGCTCTTAGGACTTTAACTTTTTGGGTTTCTATATAACTATAATAAGGAGACTAAAAGTTTAACTTTTTGGAGGGGTTCAGAAGTCAGCCAAGTATAGCCATCCCTCGTGACTCAAACTTCGGCACCCTGACCTCTTTGGCAGGGTTCCATACTGGATATGCTGGGGTTTT